AACCAAAACGCAAAACAAAATCATAATCACAAATACAACTGACCTTGAAGAAGCTCTGTTAGGAAAGAAAAAAAAAGAAAATAATTAAATCATTCTAAAAAATCAAAACAAATTAGATAGATTGAACTGTATACAACACATCAGGTAAAAAAAATCTAAAGCCACATATGAATAATCATACAAATACACCATATATGTTTTTTACATATAAAAATACATTTACATTTAAAAATACACACATACATACTGGCTTACAAACAAACAAACACACACTCACTTACAAACCCCATGCCCTCCCACCCACACCCCCCCTAACCCCCCCCTTAACCTCCTCCCCTAACCCCCTCCCCTGCCGCCGCCTCCCTCCCTCTTCCCCCTCCGCCCTCCTTCCCCCCCTCCTTTCTACCACCAACCCCTCTCTCAACCCCCTCCCCCACCATCACCCCTCCCTCAACCTCTTCCCCACACATCACCCTCCCCTCCCCATCCCCCTCATCCTTCTCCCCCTTTCCCATCCCCTCCCTCTCCTCCTCCTCCTCCCTCTCCTCCTCCTCCTCCTTTCTACCACCACCACCCCCACACCCCTCCCCTCATCCCTCAACCACCACCCCCTCCCCCCTCTCCCCTCCCCTCCCCCTCATCCCTCAACCCACCCCCTCCCCCCTCCCCTCCCCTCCCACTCCTCCCCCCCCCCCCCTCCACCACCACCACACGCACGCCCCGTATGTTAAGACCGGCCATAAAATGCGCGCGTTATTAACATCCTATCAAAAAGAGAGGTCATTTTGTGCCTAATGACCCCGCGATCCCTATAATGAACCCATTATTAGGTCATCAAGGCAGCGCCATCTGTATCGCGCGGGGAAACAGACGTCGGAAGGGAAACGGGTGGAGGAGGGAAGGGTGGAGGGAGGGGGAGGGAGGGGGAGGGAAGGGTGGAGGGAGAGGGAGGGAAGGGTGGAGGGAGGGGGGGAGGACCCACGTGGGGTGGAGGAGTGTGAGGGAGGGAAGAATGAAGGGAGTGTTGGAGGGTGGAGGGAGGATGAGGAAGGGTGAAGGGAGGGAAGAATGGAGGGACTCACGAGGGTGGCGGAAGGAAGGAGGGAAGACTGGTTGGAGGGTTGGAGGGTGGAGGCAGGGAGGAAGAGGGAGGGAATACTGAAGGGTGGAGAGAGGATGAGGGAAAGTTGGAGGGCGGAGGAAGGATGAGGGAGGGTAAAGGGGACGGTGGAGGAAGAGTTGGTGGAGATATATATATATATATATATATATATTATATATATATATATAGAGAGAGAGAGAGAGAGAGAGAAGAGAGAGAGAGAGAGAGAGAGAGAGAGAGAGAGAGAGAGAGAGAGAGAGAGAGAGAGAGAGAGAGAGAGAGAGAGAGAGAGAGAGAAGAGAAAGGAAAGAGAGACACAGAGAAGAGAGAGAGAACAAATAGACAGACAAAGACACAGACAAACACAGTCAAGAGTCGAAGTCAGAATCAGAGAGATAGAGACAGAAACCAAAGACAGATAGAAATATAAACAGAGACAGAGAAACAGACAGACAGACAAACAGAGACAGAGACACACAGAGAGAGAGGCGAGAGAGCCAGAAAGAGCCAGACAGACAAACAGAGATAGAGACACACAGAGAGAAAGGCGAGAGAGCCAGAAAGAGCCAGAGAGAGAGGCAACGACAGCGAGAGACAGACGAGGATAAGGGATCCAACTCACAGACACGAAGCGATACGCCAAAGAGCCAGAGAGAATGGGAGGGGGGGTAGGGGGGAGGGGGGGAGGGTGTCCGTACTTCCGGCCCAGCGAGCCAATGACGCGTGAACTGTCATACCACAACGGGAGGGTCAGCGCGGTGACTCGTGACACGTAGGGCTGGACACGTGCCAGTCTGTCATGAGATGCTATGTGCTTGGGGGAAGGCTTGTGATGCGCCGGGATAAAATACATTCATGTATGCGCATATTCAGCACTTTTGTAATGAGTGTGTGTGTGTGTGTGTGTGTGTGTGTGTGTGTGTGTGTGTGTGTGTGTGGTGTGTGTGTGTGTGTGTGTGTGTGTGTGTGTGTGTGTGTGTGTGTGTGTGTGTGTGTGTGTGTGTGTGTGTGTGTGTGTGTGTGTGTGTGTGTGTGTGTGTGTGTGTGTGTGTGTGTGTGTGTGTGTGTGTGTGTGTGTGTGTGTGTGTGTGTGTGTGTGTGTGTGTGTGTGTGTGTGTGTGTGTGTGTGTGTCTGCGTGCGTGTGTGTGTGTGTGTCTGCGTGCGCGTGTGTGTCTGCGTGCGCGTGTGTGTCTGCGTGTGCTGCGTGTGCGTGTGCGTGTATGTGTGTCTGCGTGCGTGTGCGTGCGTGTGTCTGCGCGCGTGTGTGTTTGTTCCTATATCAAAAATATATTTATTTTTTTCCAATTTCAAAACAAGTTGAACTACCACGAACCAAAAAAAACGCAATCCTCATATTCCATGAAGTACACTTTATATCGATTTATAGAGAAATAAATAACAGAATATAAAAAGGACCATCGCTTTAATTAATCAATTTACGGGATTTTTACTCCATTAGGAAAACATGCACTTCTGACTTTTTTTTCTTTTTCTTTTTTTTTTCTTTTTTTTATATAAAATCACTTCTTAAATAACCGACTATATGACCAAACTGCACAGATAATTTAGCTTTATAACCTTGCAAATTGCTAGACGATAATACAGCAATTAACCCGAAATTAAGTTTGCACTGGACACACCATATCATTAAGTTCCTAATAACCAACATTTGGGGGAAAATTAACGAAACAGAAAATATATATTACATTTTTTTTTTTTTTTACGTGCATGGCGTATGTAAGTTTCTGTGTGTACCTGCAGTATGTAAGTATTTGTTCAAACCCTAATGTACACAGAGCATGTCTATCAATATGCAAAGAGGCATTACGGGATGTTTGTTCTTGCTCTTGAACAAATACGGTGCATTGGGAAGCCTTCTGGTCTCTCCTTTTGTTCGCGTTTGCTTGTCTTCTTCTCCTTCTTCGTTTTTCTTCTTCTTCTTCTTCGTTTTTCTTCTTCTTCTTCTTCGTTTTTCTTCTTCTTCTATTTGTTCTTCTTCTTCTTCGTTTTTCTTCTTCTCTTTGTTCTTCTTCTTCTTCGTTTTTCTTCTATATCTTTTTTTCTTCTTCGTTTTTCTTCTTTTTTCTTCTTCGTTTATTTCTTCTTCTCCGTTTTTCCTTTTCTTCTTCTTCGTTTTTCTTCTTCTTCTTTTTGTTCGTGTTTCTTCTCCTCCTTCTTCTCCTTCGTTTTCTTCTTCTTTTTCTTCTTTTGTGTCTTTCTTTGTTTGCCTCTCTTCCTGTTTTCTTATTTACGTTTTCTTCTCCCTCTGTCATTCCCACCCCTACTTTCTCTCTTACTTTTTCTTCTTCACCTTTTTATCCTTTCTTTCTCTTTCCCTCTTTCCTCCCATCCCTTCCTCTGCCATTCCTTTCCCCTCCATTTCTTTTCTTACCCTTCCTTTTTTCCTCTCCTTCTCCTTCTTTATCTCCTTCGTTTTTTATTTCTCTTTCTCTTTCTCCTTATCCTTATCCTTCTTCTCCCTTTCCCTCTCTCTCCTCTCCTCTCTCACTCTTCCTGCTTCCGCGTCCCTCTACCTCTCCTTCTCCCTCTCTCTCCTCCTCTCCTACTCTTCTCTTGCTTCTCCTTCTCCCTCGCCTTCTCCTTCTCCCTCTCCGTCTCCCTCTCTTCTCCTTCTCCTTTCCCTACCTTCCTCCTCAGGTATTTGTCTTGACTGTACATCCCTTTGCACTACCTCTTATCATCTCTTCTCTTGTTCTCGCTTTATCCCTTCCTCTTACTTCCCTTCCCTTCCCTCATGAAGCCTCTGAAAACCTAATTTGCCTCATTTCTCTTTGCATCATCTTCCTATCATCGCAAGTGCTTATCTCTACTTTCTCTTACTTCATTTCTCCATCTTTACTTTACATAATTTTCTTCTCACCTTTTCTTTTCATTTTCCCTCATTTTTCCACTCTTACGACCTCCCTTAGAGCCTCGTTTCACCTCACCTCATTTTCCATTTTCACTTTTCTCATTTCTCCGACCTCACGATCTCCTAAACAGCCTCACTTCACTTCACTTCATCTCCCATTTTCACTTTTCTCATTTCTCCGACCTCACCTTTCCCTTTCATTTTTTCCTCATTTCTCCACCCTCACGAAGTCCCACGGAGCTTCACTTCACCTCACCTCATCTTCCCTTTTCACTTCCCCTCCTTTCTCCGCCCTCACGCACTCTCACCTCATCTACGCCTCACTAATCTCACTTCCTTTCTGCCCCATTTCCCTTCCTTTCACATCGTCCAATTTTAGTTCTCTTATAAAGTAACTTCACTTTACTTAACGCTACTTAATCTAATTACCTCTAAACCCTTTTTAAATAATTTTCCTCTAATGGCTTTCATTCTTTTTAATTCCATTTCTTCTTTTTTTTTTTCTTTTTCCTCTTAAATTCTTCCTCATAAGGATTTTTATATTATTTCTTACAAGGCGTTTTACGAAAGATGAAAAAAAAAACGTAATTTAAGGGGGGGGGACTTTTCTATTTGCGGCACATTTTCTACATTATCTTATATTGTATTATTTCTTACGCAAAGATAAAGGACATAATATAGGGGAGGTTGTTTTTTTTTATATCATTTCATATCATATTGTTTCTTACGTAAATATAAAAAGTGTAATTTAGTATTTAAGGGGGGGGGGGACTGTTCTATTTGCGTCACATTAACATGAAAATGAGGTGGATCTGTGAAAACCCTTCTTTAATATATTCGTGATCTGATTAATAAGTTTTTTTTCCAACGGATCTGTTTCTCTATATGTCTGTTTGTTTGTTTGTTGAATTTATTGTTTCTGTGTTTACTGTTCTTGTTGTTAGTTTGTTTGTGTGTATATTTGTTTGTGTCTCTCTGTGTCAAGTGACGTGTAGATTCCATCTATCTAACAGTACTATTCCATCTATCTATCTATCTAACGACACCGTGTATTATACCAATCTACCGCCCTTGCTAATTTCATTCTACCTATTCTAATGTACGTCTTTCCTTCGTTCAGATCTACAAAGTAAAAAAAATCCCTTTTATCTTCTTTTTTTTACTTTTTTTTGTCTTTTCTTTTCTCACTCTTCCCTATTCCTTCGTTCAGATCTACAGTCTAAAAAAATCCCTTTTACCTTCTTTTTTTATTTTTTTTTTTTTGTCTTTTTCTTTTCTCACTCTTCCCTATTCCTTCGTTCAGATCTACCGTCTAAAAAAACCTTTCATTTTTGTCTTTTCTTTTTTCATTCTTCCCTATTCCTTCGTTCAGATCTACAGTCTAAAAAAATCCTTTTTACCTTCTTCATTCTTTTTCTTTCTTTCTTTCTTTAATTTCCTCTCTCTCTCTTTCTTTCTTTTTTTTTTTCTTTTCTCACTCTTTCTCTTCCCTTTTATTCGCCAGCCAGTAGGCCGAAACCACACACGTTTTGGGGGGATTATAATCATTAAGGAGAGGCGGTTGGCATCGGGGAGAAAAATATGCTATGCCAGATATTAGTTTTTTTTTCGCTTTTTTTTTCAAAGGATAAAGTTAATCCCTTTGTTCTCCGTTAACCCTTAATGGGATTTGCTGGTCTGGCGCGGCAGAAGTTTGTTTGATTACGTGTCTGCTCCCTCCGCTATACACGTACACATACAGATACACACATACACACACACGCACACACACATGCATAAACACACATACAAACATAAACACACGCACGCGCACACACCGCATCACACCACAGACACACATACACATAAACGTACATTATACGTATGTATGTATGTATGTATGTATGTGTGTATGTATGTATGTATGTATGTATGTATGTATGTATGTATGTATGTATGTATGTATGTATGTATGTATGTATGTATGTATGTATGTATGTATATAGTATACGATAGATAGATAGATAATAGATAGACAGATGTATTGATAGATAGATAGATAGACAGATGTATTGATAGATAAATAGATAATTATGGATATAGATATAGATATAGATATGTGTGTATATATATATGTGTGTGTGTGTGTGTGTGTGTGTGTGTGTGTGTGTGTGTGTGTGTGTGTGTGTGTGTGTGTGTGTGTGTGTGTGTGTGTGTGTGTGTGTGTGTGCGCGTGTGTGTGTGCGCGTGTGTGTGCGTGTGTGTGTGTTTGTGTGCGCGTGTGTATGTGTGTGCGTGTCTACGTGTGTGTATCGTAGTGTAAAAAATGGTGAAGATTCGACACAAGAACGAAAAGTGGAGCATTCAAGCCCACACGCACTTATATGATGAGAAGACCCAAGACAAGGAGAAGAAGGCTAACGGGATAACTTTGTGCAATCTAATTTTCAGTCGTCGTACAGAGTATTAACATGCATTGAGTGTGTAAGAGACAGACAGGGAGAGAGAGAGAGAGAAGGAAAGAGAAAGAGAGACAGAGAGAGAGAGAGAGAGAGAGAGAGAGAGAGAGAGAGAGAGAGAGAGAGAGAGAGAGAGAGAGAGAGAGAGAGAGAGAGAGAGAGAGAGAGAGAGAGAGAGAGAGAGAGAGAGAGAGAGAGAGAGAGAGAGAGAGAGAGAGAGAGGAGAGAGAGGGGGGGGGGGATGGAGAAGGAGGTAGAAAGGGAGGGGGAGAGAGAAGAGAGAGAGAGAGAGAGAGAGAGAGAGAGAGAGAGAGAGAAGAGAGAGAGAGAGAGAGAGAGAGAGAGAGAGAGAGAGAGAGAGAGAGAGAGAGAGAGAAATGAGACAGACTGAGAGAGACAGACAGATAGACATATGGGGATAGATACAGACATTTACATGGAATCAAACTGGTGATAAACAATGACAAACATTAACACAGAAACAAGTACCATAAAGTAATAATAACAATAACAATAATAATAATAATAATAATAATAAGTAATAATGATAATACTAATAACAATGATTATACCCATAATAATGATACTACTACTACTACTGCTACTACTACTACTACTACTACTACTACTAATAATAATAATAATAATAATAATAATAATAATAATAATAATAATAATAATAATAAAAATAATAATTACACTAATAATGATGATAATGATAATAATAAAAAAGGATAATAATATCATCATCATCATGATAATTACACAAATAATAATGAAAATATAATAATAATAATGATAATAATAATAACAAATAATAATAACTAATAATAACAATTATAATATCATGATAATCATGATCATAATTGTGATAAAGATACCAACCTAAAGAAACCCAAAAGCAAAAATGAAACAAGAATCCCCACCGCCCAACGCCCGCAGAAGGACGCCCAGAAGGCAGGCAAAGACGCCCCTACGGACCTGCGGGCGTGGGCGAAGGAGCTCCCCACGTACCTGGAGAGGGACCGCGGCGTCTCCGAGGGCGTGGTGGTGCCGGAGAAGCTGTACATGTTGGCGACACCGGAGGCTGTGGAGGAGCAGTGCATCTGGTAGAGTGGTCCTGGAGGGCAGTGACGGGGAAGGGTGAGCCGAAGCCAGGGGCGTGTGAGTAGTCGTGGCGGTGCAGTGTGAGATGCAGGGAGGGGGTGTGGGGTGCAGGGGAGGGGATGGGGATGGGGGTAGGGGGGGGGTGGGGATGGGGGGGGAGGGTGGGGAGGGGAGGGATGGGAGGGGGTAGGGGGAGGGATGGATGGGGGTTGGGGGAGGGGAGGGAGTTACCGGTCCTTTGAGGGTTGTGGGGTGGGGGGGTATAGAGGTTCCTTGAGGGGAGGGAGGGGGAGTGACCCTTTGAGGGATTTTGGGGGGGGGGTTAGTTGGAAGGGTTGGTAGGGAGACGAAGGGGGGGGAGATGGGGAGGGAGCGGCAGGGTCGGTGCGGGGATGGCGCAACAAGCATAACGAGAAATGTAAAGAATGTTTCATATTCATTTGGAATAAGCAGCGAGGTGAAGAAAAGATGAAGAATAAACAAAGAAAGTAAAAGAAAGAGAAGATAAGAATAAAGAAAAAAGAAAAAAGATACGATGAAGAAGAATAGCTGGAAGGAAAAAAATAAGAAAAAGAGTAGAATGAGTAGGAGGAAGAAAAAGAGGAAAAAAACAAGGAGAAGAAAAAGAAGAACAAGAAGATACATGATAAAGAAGAGGAGGAGGAGGAAGAAAAAGACAAGGAGAAGAAGAACAAGAACAAGAAGAAACATGATAAAGAAGAGGAAGAGGCAGAGAAAACAAAAACAAAAAGAACAAAACCGCAAAAAAAAAGAACGAGCAAAAATCAGAGAAACAGAGAAGCAAAACAAACAAAAGAGAGAGAGAGAGAGAGAAAAGAAACGGAGAGGTGTCGACTATATCAATTACGCACACGCACCTCTCGGAATAACGCGCGTGCAAGGCAGCTGACTATCAGGGCTCGTCAGCGCAACACTCGGCCAGCGCAGAAAGAAGCACATCGGGCGACGCTTCTGATAAGGCGCTCGCCGAGGCCTGTTTCTCGCCACGCTCGTCTGATTTTTTTTCCTTTATATATTTCGTATGAATGTTATTGTTAATATTATCATTACGGTTATTATTATCATTATATATTTTTTTTTGTTGTTTTGTTTTTGTTTATTTGTTTGTTTTTTTTTTTTTTTTTTTTGCTCTTGGTTTTAGTGCTATTTTTATTTTCATTTCCTTGTTCTGATCTTTATTTATGGTTTTAATGTTTTCATTGTTTTTGTTTTTTCTTTTTTTTTACTTCAATTTTATTCTTACTCTTATGTCTCTTGTTTGTTTATTTTTCTTTTAAAAATCTAATTTCTTTCTTTTTCTTCTTCTTCTTCTTCCTTCGTTATTCCTCTTCTCTTCTTCCTCTTCTTCTCCCCTCCTCCTCCTCCTCCTCCTCCTCCTCCTTCTCCTCCTCCTCCTCCTCCTTCTCCTCCTTCTCCTTCTCCTTTCTCCTTCCTCCTTCTCCTTCTCCTCCTCCTCTCTCCTCCTTCCTCTTTCTCCTCCTCCTTTCTCCTTCTCTTTCTCCTCCTCTTTCTCCTCCTCCTCTCTTTCTCCCTCCTTTCTCCTCCTCTCCTCCACTCCTCCTCCTCTCCTCCTCTCCTCCTCCTTCCTCCTCCTCCTTCTCTCTCCTTCTCTCCTCCTCCTCTTTTCTTCTTCTTCTCCTTCTTTCTTCTCTCCTCCTTCCTCTCCTCCTCCTCCTCCTCCTCCTCCTCCTCCTCCTCCTCCTCCTCCTCTTCCTCCTCTCCTCCCCCCTTCTCCTCCTCCTCCTCCTTCTCCTTCTTCCTCTCTGGGTTTTATATCTTCAGATATTTCACCTTCAACTACATTGACTTTCTCCCTCTTTGTCTTCTGGATGTCCTGTTATCTATCATGCACTCCTTTATCGCAATTCTGCTTCTTCCATGATTCTTTTTCTTGTTCGTTTCTATTCCTAAATTTCCTTTCTTTTTTCCACCTTCGTTTGTTTTCCTTTTAGCCTTTACTTTCTTCGTTTTCTTTTCTATTCTTCGCCTTTTTTCAGACCCTTTTGTATCTTTCATTTTATTTTCTTTTGTTTTACCCCTCCTTCTGTTTCTCCAAGTCCTCTTCTTCCTTCTTCCATTTTTCTTTTCTTTCCTCCCCTCCTTCCTTCCTTCCTCGTCCCCTGTCCCTCCCGTTTCGTCACCAACCACTTCTTCTTCTTCTTCTTCTTCTTCTTCTTCTTTCTTTTTCTTTTCTTCTTCTTCTTCTTCTTCTTCTTCTTCTTCTTCTTCTTCTCCTCCTCCTCCTCCTGCTTCTTCTTCTTCTTCTCTTCTTCTCCCTCCTCCTTCTCCTCTCCTGCTCCCCTCTTCCCCTCCCTCTCTTGCTCCTCTCTTTTTTTCTCTTTACTATTCCTTTCACTTCTCCCTCCCTTGCCCGTCACTCCTTTCCCCTCTTTCCTCCTTTTCTTTCCCCCTGTTTCCCCCTCCCTCTCCTCTCCCTCCCTCCTCCTCCTCCTTTCTCTTCCTCCTCCTTCCTTCTCTCCCTCCCTCCTCCTAATCTCCTCCCTCTCCTTTCCTCCCTTCCCCTCCTCTCCCTCCTTTCTCCCCCCTCCCTCCCCCCTTTTCTCTCTTCTCCACCCCCTCCCACTCCTTTCCCCTCCTCCCCCCTCTCCCTCCCCTCCTCTTTTCCCTTCTCCCTCCCCCCCCCTCGGCCTTTGGACCTTTTCCAGCCAACTCTCCCTCTTGTGGCAGCCTCCCCCACCCCCCCCGACCCACCCTCCCCCTTCCAACCTGACCATCCTCACCCTCCCCCTTCCCCCTTCCCATCCACCCACACCCTCCCCCTTCCCCCCCTTCCCTCCCTTCCCCCTTCCCCCCCTGACCCCCCCTCGTCGAAGCCCGCCAAAAATTTTCCCTCCCGCATACTGATTGATTGAGAGTAAAGGGAAGGCGCGGGAGATGGCATCGGATGGCGCAAAGTTGGGGTCAGATCGTCCTAGATTTTCTTTTTTTTTTCTTAAATATAAGGAAAAAGAAGGAGGAGTTGAGGGGTTGGATCGTTTTTTTTTGAATGGGGGAGAAGAAGAAGAGGAGGAGAAGGAGTTGATGAAGGAGGGAAAGGGAAGAAGAAGAAGGAGAAGGAGTTGATGAAAGGGAAGAAGAGGAGAAAGGGGTTTGTTTGAATAGAAGGAGAAGAAGCAGGAGTTGAAGGGTTGGATCGCTTTTGGAATGAGGTGAGAAGAAGAAGGAGAAGGAGGTGGAAAAAAAAGAAAAAGGACAAGAAACGAAGAAGAGGAGGAAGGGTAAGAAAGGAAGAAAAAGAAGGCGACAAAAGACGGAGGAGAGAAAACCAGCAAAAAAAGATCACGTGTTCCAAAAAAAAAGATGAAGTTAGAAAGAAAATAATGACGGTTAGATAGAAGTTGAACGTAGGTCCTTCCAGCAAAAAGGAGGTTAAATATTAGATCTTTCCCGCAAAAGCAAAAATAATCTGAATATTAGATCTTTCCCGGAAAATCAAAAAAGAAATTGAATATCAAATTGTTCCAGTAAAAGCAAAATAAATTGAATATTAGATTTTTCCCGCTAAAACAAAAAGAAATTGAATATTAGATTTTTCCCGCAAAAACATAAGAAATTGAGGGTTGGACCGTTCCAGAAAAAAAAGTGATTAGGTTGTTCCAAAAAAGAAGGAAACTTGACTAAGAAGCAGCAATTGAAGGCTAGATTGTTCCAGAAATATAATCTTGAAGGTTAGATCACTCTAGAAAAAGTTGAAATCTCAATCGTTCCAAACTGGAGAGAGAAAAGAAAACTTGAAGGTTAGATCATTCAAAAAAAAAAAAAAAAAAAAAAGTTTAATTTTGATCGTTCTAAAATACAAATAGAAAGAAAAACTTCAAGGTTAGATCACTCTAAAAAAAAGTTTAAATTTTGATCGTTCTAAACTAGAAAGAGAAAAAAGCACTTTGAAAGTTTGATCGTTCTAGAATAAAAAGTTTAAATTTTGATCGTTCCAAAGTACAAATAGAAAAAAGGCTAGATCATTCTAGGAAAAAAAGTTAAAATTTTGATCGTTTTACAATAGAAAATAATTGAAGTTTAGATCATTCTAGAAAAAAATGTCGAAATTTTGATCGTTCTTAAATAGAGAAATAAATTGTTAGAGATTAGATCATTGCAAAACAAAATGTTAAAAAACGACACCGAGAAAAAAAAAAAAAACCTAGTTAAAGAAAAACAAGAAAACAGGAAGAGGGAGAATTCGAAAGAAAAATTAATAAATAGAAGCTGACGACTAGATCGTTGTAGCAAAGAAATAGAATAAGAAATAAGAAAGAGGGTGAAGGGGGTAAGGATAAGGAGGAAACGTGAAAGATTGACTACAAGAAATATGGGAAAGAAAAAGAATAAAAAATGCAGTGAACTCATCATCCACTTTCCATCTACATTTTTATTTCATTTTCCATCATTTTCAATATACCCCCCCCTTCTCTCTCTCTCTCTCTATCTATCTATCTATCTATCTATCTATCTATCTATATATCTATCTGTCTATATATCTATCATATCTCTCTCTCTCTCTCTCTCTCTCTCTCTCTCTCTCTCTCTCTCTATATATATATATATATATATATATATTATATATATATATATATATATATATATATATATACTTATTATATATATATATATATATATATATATATATATATATATATGTATATATATGCCCCTTCCTCCCTCCCACCCCCACCCCTCTCCCTCTCCCTCTTTTCTCTCCCGCTGATGGATTGAGCGATCCCCAAGCGCGGCTCCTCGCGACGCGGGCGTGCAATAGCCTTTAAGGGGCATCGCGGTTTCCTAATAGAGGGCTGAGTGGTTACGATGATCTCTTCCGGCAAAGTTATCGGTCGCTTGCCCGCCGCGAGTTGGGTTAAGGATGGGATGCAACCGCGATTACTTCGGGGTGTTTTGGGTAATGTAATTCCTGGTAATGATCATGTCGTTGTGCGGTAATTT